GATGGTGATATTGATGATGTTGATAATGATGGTGGTGATGGTCATGGTGAAGGTGATTGGGCTATTGTTAATGTTGACAATGATGGTGGTGATGGTGATGGTGAAGATGATGGTGATGGTGATATTGATGATGTTGATAGTGATGGTGGTTTTGGCCAATGTGAAGATGATGGTGATGGGGATATTGATTATGTTGATAATGTGGTGGTGATGGTCATGGTGGTGATGGTCATGGTGGTGATGGTGATGATGAATTTGATGGTGATGCTGCTGATAGTGATCATGATGCTGTTGATGGTGATGGTAAAGATGAAAATGATGGAGATATTGATGATGTCGATAATGAAGGTGGCGATGGTGATGGTGGTGATGGTGATGATGAATTTGATGGTGATGCTGCTGCTGATGGTGATCATGATGGTGTTAATGAAGATGTTGATCATTATGGTGATAGTGAAGATAGTGATGATGGGGATATTGATGATGTTGATAATCATGGTGGTAATGTTAATGTTGGTGATGATTATAGTGATGGTAGTGATTATGTGGAGCCTTCTCCTCATAAAATTACGTATTGAGATTTTACTCTTCTTTGGTCATTCTTCATTGAGGAAGATTGAAGAGTAGAGGCATTGTAGGCAGGGCAGGACCTAGCGTAATTTAACAACACAGATAAATTAAGAAAGTGAGGGTCATGAGTGGGTTTGCCCCATGGAGGTAGGCTCTGCCTAGGTTTGCTTGTCACTTGGTGTCAGAAAGCAGGAATTGTAAGAGAAGGGGGTGAAAGGTGATGGGATCTGCAGAACTGGCCCTGGTTTTTCCCTCTTCCTAGATCCAGGCTTCCATTCCCACAACTGTGTTGATACTTTAAGCATTGATCTAGACCCTGCTCCACTGAACTGCCCACAGTACCTCTACTCTTCAGTTTCTCTTGGTAATGCCCTTGTGGCAAAATGAAAGGAAGATCTCAAGATGTGGATTTAGAAGGTGGAAGTGGAAAGAGGAAGAGATTTGAGGTAGCCTGACTCAGCTGTCCATTTCCACTTCATGAAGTAGGAAGGAGGGAGGCAGGGAGACAGAAGGGGAGAAGGAACATACGAGAGAGTTCTTTTCCTGCCTTTTACAGTAGAGTGATGCTGCCCATATGTAATGTCAGTCATACAACTAACTTCTACCATGGTATGGGAGATTAGGATTAAAAACATTTTAGAAAAACATGCAGCCCCCTGGACAGTAAGTAGCGTCCAGCTTTAGTGGGGCAAACGTAGACATTGGAGTCCAGCAGAGCTAATTCTGTTTTAGCTGTGAACTTCAATTAATTTTTTAATCTCTTTGTATCTCCATTTGTCTGTCAGTAGAACAGGGATGATACGTGTTCCACGGGATTACAGAAGATTGAATGAAATAAAGTTTATGAAGCATTGTGTTAGTGTCCTCAGGCTGCCATAATAAATCTCCACGAGCTTGGTACCTTAAAACAACAATTTAATTTTCTCACAGTTCTGCAGGCTGGAATTCTGAAATTAAGGTGTTGGCAGGCAGGGCCATGCTCTTTCTAAAGACCCTGGAGAAACATCTTCCTTTGCCTCTTACCTTCTGGTGGCTCCAGAAATCCTTGACATTCCTTGAAATCCTTGGCTTATAGCTGCATCACTCAGTATCTGCCTCCATCTTCACATGGCCATCTTCTCTGTGTGTGTCTACAATCTCCCTCTCCTCATGAAGACACAATCATTGGATTTAGGACTCACTGTGACCCAGTATGACCTCATCTTAACTTGACTACATCTACAAAGAAAATTTCTAAATAAGGTCACGTTCATAGGTATTGAGGTTAGGACTTCAACATGTCTTTTTGGAGGGCACAACTCAACTCAACTCACTACATTTACCTCGCCCAGAGGTTGGCGTATTGTAGGTGATCAAAAGTGTTAATCCTCTTTACCTCCCATTCCTTCTTCTCAAAGATGAAAAGACAAATTTTTGCCTTCTTTGAAGGTAAAGGGGATTAACAATCTTGAAAACAGATTGCTGATCTTTAACTACTGTGTTCTTTTACAGACAGACTTTTTTTAGTTTCCTTTCCATCAATATTTTGACATAACCTCCATGCAATGCTATTTATGTTTATTCAGCTTATCGATTCTTTTCTTGTCTAGTACGTACACAGTTGGGGCTCAGGGAGCAGAGGGACATGTCCAGAACAAATGGAGTACTTGGATTTCATTTTGGTGCTAATCAAAATTCAAGATTTAGGATCAGGAGGATGTTAGAGCAAGAAAACATAATTGGTTCTCTGATAGTCTCTGATAACAGCCTCTGTGGACAGAGGCTGATTTATCAAAGGCAAGTTATAAGTGGCATCACACTTCGATTCAGGTTTCAATAAACATTTGAACTGAAGCTCCTATTTTTGACCTAACTTAACTTTGACAGTCTAGAAGGTCATGGTGGCCTCATTGGTCTGTCAGAAAAAATGTAACCTTGACTACAATCTGCATTGTGGCCACAAGAATGAGGAATAGGCTAATTATCTTCTAGCTCCTAAACAAAACATTCGGTGGCCCGTGGTCTGGAGTCATTTTAAATTAAACTAATTGTCACAGGTTGGCGTTTCTGGAGACAGATGCTGATGCAGAGTTTGGGGTATAATATGCTTTCCATTGTGCAGAGAAGAATTAGCATATCCAGCTGGAGGCTGCTATCCTTAGAAAAACTTGCTTACAAGATTGATCCTGGGCTGGTGACTGGAAACTTGAATTTCAGGATTCCTATCTTCTGAAAACTGATAAGAATGGCTCCCTGTGCCTGAACTGTTTTTTACATATAGTATAGTTTATGCTGATTACTTGCTGTTTTTCTTGGAGTATGAAATTTTGGTACATGCCAGGGTGCCTATGTGATCAGCCTTGAATATAAACCCTGGACACTGAGTCCCTAATGAGCTTCCCTGGTAGAAAACATTTCACATGAGTTGTCACATATTTTGTGACTCCTCTGGAGTCTGGAAGCATGTGTCTTGTTTACCTTGGCCTTTACTACATTCTTCCCTTTTCTGACTTTGCTTTGTATCTTTTTGCTGTAATAAACCATACTTGTGAGTGGGATTGTATGCAGGTGGCCTTGGGGACCCTTGGTACAATCAGTGACCCCCTATAAAAGGAAACGGAAAGGAGCAGGATTGAAAATAGGAAGAAGTGGAGTTGTGATTTGGGTTGACAAAGCCTCAGCAGTCTGGGTGATTTTCATCTATCAAAGTTGCCTTTACATTTTTTTATAATCATCATCATAATAGTAGTAAAAATAATTATTGTCTCTTATTACACAAGTAATACATACCCGTTGTAGAAATATTAGAAAACAAGCATAAAGAAGTGAAAAACGTCAAGAAATTACATTCAAATAAAATTCTGGAGGATTTTCTTTATAATTTACACATGTATATATATGTATATATGCACATTATTTTTATTTTAGTGAAATGGAGATTATACTGTGTGTATTTTTTTGCAAAGTTATATTAGTATATAAGCCTTTTTATATATTATTAGAAATGTATTCAAAAATCTTCTTTTAAATGGTAGGATATTCAGAACTATAGGGAAAAGGGGGAAATCTTAAAAAGCACCCAGAAAACAAAAACAGATCCTTCCAAAAGGTTATCAGGCACACTTCTGTCAGAAGACAGTGGAGTGGCACCATCAACATTTTGAGGGAAAGTTATTTTGAGCCTTGAATTATGTAGCCAGCCATACTATCAATCAAACTGAGAACTAAGTGACAGTATTGCTAGATGTGAGAAAAGAATATCTTCTCTAAACAAACTTACTTGAGAATAAATAGATACTTAGGATACTTCATCAAAATAAAAAAGAATTATCCAAGAAAAAGGAAGAAATGGGATCCAAGAAACAGATTTTCTTCAATGAGTAATGCTGCGACAATATAGAAGGCAGTGAAGAAAAAGAAAATATCTCTATGATACCAGAAAACCTAGAAAGTAGCCAGGTCTGATTAAATCAGAAAGTCAAAGAACTCTGGGAATGATGACTTTAAGAAAAAGTAAATTTGACTCCCTGTAACAGATGGTATTATTAAGAACTTGGGTTTATGCTAGGAAGAAAAAAGATAGGCCGTGAAAAACTTCAGGAAAAACAAAAAGTCACACAAGGAAATGCTAATTCACACTGAAGCAAACTAAAAATGTAGCCTGATTTGAAATCATTGATCACGTGTGAGAAAAGGGACTGAATTAGGAACATACTCCTTTGAGGGGCAGATATTTAGTGACACAGGGTTGGATCCAATTACTTTACTCTGCAGTGAGCAACATTTGCCTAATCATAATAATATTGTCTTTTAAAATTTGTAGTTGCTGGAATTAACCTATAAACAATAATCAGAATTGAATTCTGGTTGCAGAACAAAATATTTATGTTATAAACCTAATAAATGCTGGAAGGCAGAAGCAGGGAAGGAGGGGTGGGGTTAAGTTTGGGCCACTAATCTCACTAGTCAGAAGACAAGAGATTTTCTCTAAGTGTAATACCATAAAAATTGGGGTTTAATTATTTAAAGTTATAGAGCGTAGTGGGAAAGTGAGGGTGCCATGGGTTCTTCCTCTGGCCTTTGCAAAATTCTGCCCATGATTCTCAAAAAATGCCACGAATCCTTCGGATTATCATGTATTTGATTTGGGAACTTAACATTCTTGAGTGTCTGTGATGTGGTAGGCTTGGGGCTGGATGGCACTATTGTGTGCAAATCACCATGCCTCAGGTCTTTCTTTGAAAGACTTGTCAAGCACTGAGGAAATTCAGGCTCAGAGAGGACCAGTGAGGGCCTCTAGGCAGCCAGCTGGTAGCTGGCAGAGCGGGACTCAAATGCAAGTGAGTCCCCTGGCTCCCTGCTTGGTCTACTGTGACACTGGATCATCTGTGTGGCCTGGGAGACCTGCAGTCTGACCATGCATGAATCCTGCTCTCCTCTTGTCTCCGCAGGTTCTGCCGCACCACGGCCTCCATGCAGCGGGGTTCTTCATTGCCTTCCTCCTCTCCCTTGTGCTGACCTGGGCTGCCCTCTTCCTCATGGTTCACTATCAGTGTCTGAAGGGAAGCATGCTCACCAGACATCGGGTGAGTCTGCCCTGAGGGTGGTTTGGAAGATGGTGGATGTGAGGTTGAAGTGTGGGTGACAAGATGCGTGTGGGTGACAGGATGCGTGTGGGGTGACGGGATGCATGTGGGGTGACAGGATGAGTGTGGGTGACGGGATGTGTGTGGGGTGACGGGATGAGTGTGGGTGACAGGATGTGTGTGGGGTGACAGGATGCGTGTGGGGTGACGGGATGAGTGTGGGTGACGGGATGTGTGTGGGGTGATGGGATGAACCGTTCAGGGAAGGACTGGGGGTGTTGGCTGGTGGGTCTTGGGTTGGTGGGCACTGCAGTGCTCAAGGAGGGGACATGGCAAAGAACCAACTATGCAAGGGCCCCTGCTGTGACTCATTGTCACCCAGAGGTGCACCACCTTGGCAGGAACATATGTCATCTTTCTCCCTCACTTTAGCTTGAAAACACTGAGGTCCATGAGGTTAAACAACTTGCTTAACATGGCCAGGCACAGGCTGGGACCCAGCTTCTGGGGACCCCCTCTCCCTGGAGGCTGAAAATTCCACCCCAGCCTAGGTGAGGTGCCTGTTATGCATTTTGTCCCTGCTTCTTGGAGGAGAGGATTGTCATTTCAAAATGAGGTCAGCCCGCAGTCTCCTTGGCGGGCAAAAGTGAGAAGAAAAACGGCCCATCTAATCAGACCTCGTACTGATTCTCCCAAAGCTGTTATCAATCAGAGGAACTAAACGCACCCGCTGCTTTGATGTCGGAGCAGGATTCATTTCCCAGAGATTAGGGTAGATCATGAGAACTGCACAGAGGAAAGCAAGAGTATGAATTTGATTTAAGGCCTAAAGACCCTTGCAGTACTTATTTCCTGGCATCGCAGAATGAACTCTTTTCACATTTTTCTTAATTTTTTTGCCAGCATAGTAGTGGTCAGTGGTCTGCTGTAAAACAGAAGGCAGCCTTCAGAGTTGGATTGGGATCAAAAATCAACTGGACTCTTTTGAGCTGTGTGGCCTTCAATAACATTATTTCACTTCTGTGAGCCTCAGTTTTCCTATTTGTAAAGTGGGGGCACCAACACTTCCTTGTTGTAACAGCTTCATGATAACACAAGGAAAGCACTGAAAATAGTATCTGCCACAGGGACAAGAATTAGTATAGGTTAGCTATAACTATCATGCATTTTTGCAGTGTTAATGATATTGGAGACGAAACAGATCTATCTCTTATCCAATCAGAGGGTTGGGCGTAATTATCTTTAATGTCACTTCCAGCTCACAGTCCTATATTCGTTTTCTTTATTTTTTTTGAGACAGAGTCTCACTGTGTCGCCCAGGCTGGAGTGCAGTGGCACAATCTTGGCTCACTAATACACATGCATGCATACGCACTTTAAAAAGCCACATCAGATAGAGATAGGAACGGCAAGAGGTCAGCATTGGTGCTGTCGGTACAGGAAGCGCAAACCTTCACAGGAGAAGTTGCAGAAACATATTAAATCTGATTGGCGCTTCTTGTAAATTCCATGTGCCGGGAAAGCCAGAGGAAGGGACCAGGGTCTGCAGTCACAGAAGTACGCTCAAAATCAGCCACACACTGAGTAACACACGGTAAACTCCAAGACTTTTGCAAATGTCCCTGAGCCTCCGTTTCTCTCGCAAAGAAATGGGACGTAATTCCAATAGCCCTGCCGTGAGGACAATTGTTGGAGTAAAGTGGAACAATGGACAAGAAAGAACTTTTCAACTTGTAAGACCTAAAGAATTATTATCACTGTCCATCATCTTTTATCATTATCAAGGTAGAGGAGACCATCACAACGGGTAATGGTGCGGACATCGCATCAGAGATCTGGTATGGTTTCTAATCGAATACAAGGATCGGCCGGAGCGCGTGTGGCTTACACCTGTAATCATAGCACTTTGGGAGCTGAGGTGGGGGATCAACTGAGGTTAGGAGTTTGACACCAGCAGCCTGGCCAACATGGTGAAACCCGTCTCTACTAAAAATACAAAAATTAGCCAGGCGTGGGTGGCAGGCGCCTGTAATGCCCAGCTACTCAGGGGACTGAGGCAGGAGAAATCGCTTGAACCCAGGAGGTGGAGGGTGTC